TTTGTATTCATGCTCAGATGCCAAGGAGCTCAGAAGGTGGGCGACTGTGACCAGTGATAGTCATGTATATAGAGATTAGAAATGCATGTGAAAACGTCTCAATGTCAATTGCTTTGGAATGAATTCTTCTGTATGAAAAAAAAAAATAACCACATTATTAGAAGAAGCATTTCTTTACAGCTTTAGCATATTCAGTAATATACTCCAGAACAAGGATACATGTCTTTCAAACGTGGCTGTAAATTTTTAGGTTAACAGTTGAATTAATACAGTCATACAATATTGAACTCACTATAACCCCTGTAAGATATAAAATTAAATGAGTTTTTACTCTTTAAAGAAGATCTCCATTTCAAGATATGCTGTTTCCTACATTTTTTAATATTATTTTTTATTTTTTTTAGAAGAAGCATATCATTACGGTTTTAATATGCTCAATAACAGTTTCCAGAGCAATATTTATTAATTATTATTTTTTTTGGCTTTTTAAGGCAGGGTCTGCCTGTAGACCTAGCTGGCCTGGAACTCACTATGGAGACCAGGCTGGCCTTGAACTCATAGAGATCCACCTGCCTCTGTCTTCCAAGTGCTGGGATTAAAGGCGTGTGCCACCACGCCTGGCTGAGACCTTTATTTAAAAAAAAACAAAACCTAGTTGTTTTTCATGATATTGGTTCCTTGGTAACAAGTACGTATAAAGAATTAAAATCTCCCCTATTTTATTGTTTAAATTATGATATATGTACTAAGCTTTAAAAAATATTTATTTTTATTTTATGAGTATGAGTGTATTGTCTGCATATATGTAAGTACACCGATGTCATGCAAAGTCTCCAGAGGCCAGAAGAGGGTGTCAGATATCCTGGAACTGGAGTTATGGACAGTTGTTAGCTGCCATGTGGGTGCTGGGAATTGAACCCAGGTCTTCTGGAAGAACAGCCAGTGTTCTTAACCACTGAGCCATCTCTACAGCCCCTCATTACCTTTTATAATGATAGCATTCTTGCAAATTTTATAGGTTTCATTACATGGTCTGCTTTTACTTGATATTGTAGCTCTATCATTAACCAGAAGATATTTGTAAGATCATTCTTGCCCATGTATCATGTTGATATTCACACTTAAAAGAATCTTCATGCTGGGTGGGGTGGTGCATGCCTTTAATCCCAGCACTTGGGAGCAGAGGCAGGCAGATCTCTGTGAGTTCGAGGCCAGCCTGGTCTCTACAGAGAGTTCCAGGCCAGCTGGAGCTACAGGGAGACCCTGTCTCAAAAAGACCAAAGGAAAAAAAAACCTCACAAACATTTCAATCATTTATGATTGTACTACTATTAATATTCTTGCCAAATTTCCTTCAGCATAAGTTTCTCTGCACAGGTAAGACAGAAAGGGTCATGTGATTTCTAGAAATTTATTCTTCCTCTTTTTCTCCTAGTCAGATATGAAATGAGGCACAGTGTTGTTACGGGAATAACTTTAAACTAGCTTTAATTAATTATTTAATTAATTAAAAATTTTATGTATATGAGCATTTGTCCTGCATGTATGTAAGTGTACCATGTGGATGCAGTGCCCAAGGAGGCCAGAAGAGGGTGTCAGATCCCCTGAAACTGGAGTTACGGATGGTTGTTAGCCACCATGTGGGTGCTGGAAACTGAACCTGGGAGCTCTGCAAGAGCGGCCAGTGCTCTTAACCACTGAACCATCTCTCTAACCCCACAGCTTCAATTTCTGAAAACAGAAGGCATTGTATGGAAATGTCCACTCTGTTTTTGCCTCAGCCCACAGTTCCTCACACTAAGATGGAGGCTGCTGCTTCCATACTGCTTTGGGGTGATGGATCTTTAGTCAGCTCTTGCTAATTTTGCTTACAGACTCCTCTAGATATAATCACTCAGTTTGCTTAATTATAGCACAGCTTTATTTGCTATCATTTAGAGTAACTACCAGGCGGAGAACACTTATTGAGTCTTCTACATCTATTCATGTTACAGTGTTTCCACTAGAGGAACACTCCTGGTCTCTATCTCCCTGTACCCCTTCCTGGACAAATGACTTACTTGATTAGGGAGGAGGAGACAAAGTAGACAGGCCATCTTAGTCCTTTTGGATTCTATGATTATGGGCAACTCACTTCAGGGATTATTGTGGGGTCCTGCTAGTAGCCCAGAAGGTCATTTTGCTTAATACTGTGCTGTTATCAGGAAACTCTTATTGTCCCATACCCAAAGGCTCCTTTTTGAATGGCAAGAAAACTGATATTTGAGCTCCATCTTTCTGTTCCTTTTACTCTTTTAGTTGGTTTGTGTTTGGATAGGAAGAAGGAAGGGTGCAATATATTATAGTGGCTAAAAGTAAGTAAGCAGCCCTAGTTGGCCTGGAACTCAGTGTGTCAAGGAGGCTGGTCTTGAACTCAGAGATCCACCTGCCTCTGCCTCTTGCATGCTGGGACTAAAGGCATGCTCCACCATGCCTGGCAAGAAAAGATCTTTTAAAGCCCTAAACGGTAGGCTGTAAGCTGAAATACTGACTTACCAGAGAATGAGGAATACAGTTCTACAAAATTTCTGGCTAATTTTGGGCTAACCTAAATCCTCTTTTAACATTTAATACATCATTTAAAAATATGGATGCATTTGCTACTAGTTTATCTTTTCCTCCTCCAGACAGGCTGGAACAAGGGATAGACATCTTTCAGCATAATGACCTTCAGGAGACATTCATTGCATTACTAACCCAGGCAATGAAGCAATTCTGATAATTTTGAGCTATCATACCCTGAGAGTATGAGGACTTCTAACCTTTCCCTGCTTCTCCTCTGCTCCATTCCTCAGGTCTTAGATGAAGTCTAGTGTCTGCTGGCAGGAGGCACAACACACTGACAGGACTGATGACAAGCATACCAGAGGCCCTGAATCTCTAAGCTGTTAAAAACTCTTTGGCTTTGAGTCTAAAGTCCAGGAGAGCTTCCAGACTCTAGTTTTGTGCTCAACCATGCTATGCTTATTTGGGACATGGATTGCAAGGTACCATCCTTCTATGATTACTGCTTAAGTTATAGTGACTTATTCGTTCATTGATGAGTCAAGTCTTGTAATGACTCAAGGTTATCATCAAGACCATCAGAGATTACATCACAGTAATATTACTGTGGTAGAGGTGACGTTAACTTAGAACAGAAAGTCTGCACTGCCAGCCTGGTTGTTCCTTGGGAACCTTTCTCCAACCACTGTGTTAGTTTCCTATTGCTGCTATAACAAATCAACATGAGGTTAGTGGTCTTAACACAAATTTACTATCTTATAATTCTGGTAGTCAGAGGTGTGAGTGAATCTCATTGGACTAAAGGCAAGGAGTTAGCTGTGTTGGGTTCCTTTCTGGAGGCTTTAGGGGAGAATATGT